ACTTCCTAAGGTGTTACAGAAGTAGTATTAAAAGATGTACAGGGAATGGAATACCTAAAGGATTGGTCAGATGTCTGACTTCAAATTTAGGAAACTTTCTCATAACAACATTGAAGAAGCTGTTAAGCGTATTGCATTTGCCAAAAATACAGGTCAAAGCAAGTGAAAAAATCCTTATTGTTAGAGGCACAGTGGGAGCACAGTAAGTATTAAATTGATTTACTTTGGATGAAAAAGGTATGCCCTGTCTTAACCTTATTATCCTTGCTTCCCAGCGATGGCTGTACCAAAAGATAAAACTTCTGAATAGGAGATTGTGCATATACTATGTCTAGAAGAAGGACTGATATACCTGATGTGGATGACAAATTAGTGGACAAAAGTCCAAAACATTTACAGTGAAGTATCAGTTTTAGAAATGTAGCTATCCAACTGTTAGAAAACTAGCATCAGAGTAACAGAGATTACTGGAGAAGTCAGTGGAATTACCCATCTCATAATCATATTTAGTACTTTTAAGTTGGAGAACGGGTTGAAAGGGGCATGGGTAGTTATTGACTGGTGTTTTATTCAGCAGAAAAATGAAAACAAGAATACCTGCTCTGTTGGAATCTGATGACAATCACTGGCACCTTGCAGATATGTAAATCAATCAGGCAGAACAAAAAAGTTGGTGTGATTTAGGTGCCAGGAAAACCTGCTGCTTTGTGGAAATGACACTGTAATTTAGAGTAAGAAACAGCTGCAAATAGCAGTGGTTTTACAGGGAGTGGCCTTGTAGTTGCAGGAGGTTGCCACCTTACATCCTTATGTGGAAACAACCAAGAAATAGGGAATGTATTTTTTCACATACAGGAAAAGGTTAGAGTTGCTGAGCTGGGCATTTTCCTTGAGAAACCTTCAAACAGGCACTAACCAAAGTAGGTTGACATGGCTGAGCCTTAGGACATGATTCAGGTGTTTGATGGCAGGTATCTCAAAGAAGACCTGCAGATTCCTGTTTGGAGAACAGACTATCAACTGAACATTTATTATTAGCTATAAGGTAGTATCTTAATTTGTTATTATAATTTATATGCTTACATGGGAGAGGGAGATCTGCCAAGAGCTGGTTTGAACTGGTTTTGTTAATGTTATGAAAATATATGGAATACTGATGAGTTAGGATTGCATGAATCAAATTTGCCTCAGAATCCTTGGCTGTGGGAGATTACTGAACAACAGACAGCCCTGAGTCTCCTCTTGGAGCAAAACCAAACACCACCATAACTAGTGCTTCATTTCTCCAGTAGCATGGATTGTTGATCACTGGGAATTACTAGTCATAAAGTTGGCCAGATGAGTGACCAGAGACATATTTTGTGTTTTGTGGGTGCTTGTTTTTTCAACGTAACAAGTAATTAGGCAAATGGTCTGTGTTCTCTGCTTATCTTACTTTTGCTGTATTCAATTTCCTTATCTCTTCCAACCTATGGTGGCAAAGATTATGGCTGGCATAAACAACATATTACATAAGTAGATGATTTGAACATTACAAGACCATTAAAAGTGAAAAAGAGTGCTGGAGAGGATACATAGTAGGAAAAAGGAAACAAACTGTGAAGTTTCTTGCTAGCAGTGGTAGGGATAAATCAGAAAAAAAGGCAAATTTTTTATCAATTGACAAAAGCAGCCTAAAACTAACTATTTGTCATTGCTATTCTTTGATGTACCTTGCTTAGCCAGTAAGTTTTCTTCTTCTGGATCATGTGAAAAATCTCATCCATATCAGGATAAGAATTATATTTCTGGTCCTCTTGCGTGCTGGAATTGTGCTGCCTGACCCAGAACAAAGAAAACTGTCAGCTGCAGTGGGTGTCCTAAAGTAACACTGCGCTATTACCACTGTAAGAAATTACTGCTGTAAATGAAGTATAAAAAATTAGCAAAGTAAAACATGATTTGTCATGGGAAGCAAAAAAATCCGTGGAGGTATGTTTTAGGGTGAGAAGAAAATAGATTAAAAATTCCAGTGAAAGAAGAAAAGATGAAGAAAAAACCATGAGTTCACCTTATAAACACTTCTCTCTAAAGCAGAACAAGAGACTGGTCAATGTTAACTGACATCTCAGTTGATGGCATGCTGTCAGTCAAGCCTCCAGGTGATCTTGCTATGAATGTATGAATATCTAATTAAAAGCTGATGTAATTGTTGTTCTGATAGTTTCCTCTTGAAATTTAGAACTCGTAGGTTTCATTACTATTTTCTGAGCAGACTTTGACGTATTTGAATACCTTTTGGTTTGAAATAATAAAGTTATAAGTATACCTGGACAAAAATGGTATTAAAACGGGTGAGGAGTGGAAAGGAGGCGTAGTTTTGAAGAAAGGATTATGTACTTGACCAGTCTTTCTCCGCTTTTCTAACTCCCTTTCTACTTGGGCCTTAATTGTAGAGACTTGTGACCTGCCTGTGTATGTATTTTAGCATTAAAATGTTTTAGGGAAAACAGTTAGTTACGTAATATGTATTATTTCTCATAACGAGAGGCTTCCTAGTCCAATATGAAAGCTATTGGACTGGGAGGCTTGAAACTAAGCCTGTAGGTGCAGCTTGAACACTAGCACTAAGCAAATCTGTTCACTGTGTTTCGTTCTCCGCATCTGCAAAATGGTATTGACATTATTTGTAAAATACTTTGTGGTCTGCAGGTAAAAAGTGCTCTCAGAGTGAGATAACATTAATGGTCTTGGTAGTGGCTGTTCCATGTTACGTTTGTATTGCATTTGACGCAGCGTTGCAACGTTCTGCTTAATTCTGTTCTGCTAGCCCGTTTTCTCAGTCTTCGTGGCATTCCCCTCTAAAATTTCTTCAGATTATGAAACTCCCCTATATTGCTTTTAAGACTGGGTTGTACCAATGGCACCCAGCAAAACAGCCTTCACAAATGCATGGTACATCATTGGTAAAATATGTTTATCAGCAGTCAGTAACCCCACCTTTCCTCTCATTCCTATCAACTCTACTAGGATCTCTTTTTATAATTCTGTGTATTTTGATAAAGTTTTCATGAACAAGGAACCATCCCTTCCTCCCCATCCCCTCACAGCACACACATGTTTTAGGGTAAATAATATGTCCATTATCTCTTGCCTAGCATTATACAGAGGAAGCAGGATCTCCTAGGAGGTGAAAAAGCAAGCTCTTCCTTTTTCTTGTGAATTCACAGCCATGCACTGTTTCTTTTTCTGGGAGAAAACCCAATTATTTTATGTACATCAGAGTTGGTTACAGATTCAGTTTTCAGAGATTAATTCCAAAGAAATTAAAGCTAATTAAAGATTTATACAGATTAGTGGTCTTTTACATTTAGCTGTGCATTGTGTTTTACTGGGTAAAAGATAACCAGTTGACTTTCTCACCACTGCAGTTATCTATTGAGCTTCACTGAATATCTATGTCCTACTCTATTCACTCTGATACATGGCAGGGGGAGCCAGATTATTTTCTTTTTCTGTTTGTATGCATTAACAATAGGCCTACTTAAACTGCAGTTTCCCTCCGTATTTTACTGAAAGATCAGCTGGCCTGCATTAGTTAAGCCACAGTAACTTGATTGTGCCATGGACAGCTCTGGATCCAATAGCACAGATAGCACTTTTGACAAGAGGGCAAAAATAGCTTCAGAATATTTTTCATCTGTGGCCGTCAGTATCTGCAAGCTCTTTCCGTCTGTGTAGTTTAGAATTGGCTTTAGGGAAGGAATAATTTGAATGGAGGAGCTGTTTGGAGGGGAGTAAACAAGAGGCTCTGGTCTTAGCCATTGCAAAATAGGTTTTGCCCTAACAACTTGTCTCCTATTTTCCAAAGTGTTTTGATGATTTTCAAACTCAAGTTATGAAAGATACTGATCAGAATATTTTTAGCCTCAAGCATTCACAAAATAATTGTTGTGCACCCAGAATATTGGCTGTAAATATCATAGGTTTTTAAAAACTAAGTGCAGTGAAGTGATGCTTTCAAGATTTTCTTTCTTTAGCTGGAAAAACCTACTGACTGTGTTTGTTTTATATAATTTATATTTGAAAACTTAGCTTTTTTTAAGCTGAGGGGTAGTGTTATGCAATTACTAGGAATTAAGATAAAATTGCAAAAAGCAACAAAAGAAGTAAAACAAGAATTATTACATCTGTGCGCTAGCAATAGCAAGCTAGAAGGAGTTAATGAAAGGCCTTGTTATCTCCCCAGCTGTGGCTAAGCTGCTAGTAAGAAATTGGCTGGCATGAAATACTGCAGCTGAAATTGGAAAGGGGCAGTAGATGAAGAGGCTGCCTAGCAGAGGGTTAGAGAAACTGCAAAAAGAACAATACTACAAGGAAGATTGCTATGTGAAAAGCAAGAAGGAGGCTGAGGCTGATAGGGAAGAAATGCTTTCTTCTCATTATATGCCCTGTGGTTCGAATTCTGAAAGGCAGGTGAGCTAGCGTGCATTACCTTACTGCAAGAAGAAATGTAAAAATGTCAAGTTTTATTGAGGCTTGGACTAAAGAAGGCTCAAGGCTAGATCTACTGCTCTGAGTTTGGATGAGCCTCCAGGTTGTACAGAGAGATGGGATTAATGATAATGAAAGCACTACTATGATGACAACAGGGAGGTGTCACAGGTGTTGGTGAAGCCCTGCAATGGCATCTTCAGAAGATACTCGGAAGCCTTCTTGGGCCTTATGTGTTCATCTGAGAGCTATTGTATGAGGCTGGAAGGCTCATGCAGAAGCAGGAGAGGGGAAAGACTGGAGTTAGTCTTTTCTAGTTTATGTAAAAATTAGTGTGGCAATCTTGCTTTCTTCATTCTGTCTTAAATGACTTAGATTGTACTTTGATTGGTTCATCAGGTTTGAAACCTACATAGCCACGGTCAACAAAAAACCTCAGTACAACAGTAAGTTTGATTTTTGACAGAAAACTTAGTTCGGTCTTTCTTATTGTAACTCCAACCCCAATCTCTTTTGCTTCCATCTAGGCCATGTGTTTATACGATGGGATCGCCAATAAACAACAGAGCCCTTTTCCCATGCCAAGAACCACCCATTGCCTTGTCAACATGGCAAGCCTCAGTCCGAACAGCTGCAGGCTTTGTTGTGTTAATGAGTGGTGAAAACTCAGCAGAACCAGTCCAGCTTCGAGAAGGTGAAATATATATTCTATAGCAAATTATTTTAAATAATTTTATAATTAGAAATATAGCTTAGTAAATATATGATTTTGAAAGAATAAAGTTCCTAACCTTAAAAGCACTTATATGTCTATCTGTAATCTCCATGTCATTCTATGGAAAAGTTACCTGCTCAAGGCCTCAGGATAACTTTGTAGGAATTCAAGGCATCTACATTTCACTGTGTAACTTCTACTTACTTTTTTCTGTGTTTTTATTCCTTCTACTTTTTCCAAACCGAGACTTCACTAGTCATAAACTGGGTTTGTCTTAAACACTGCAGTTGAACGTTTCATAGATGAAGTACCTTATCAGGCTTTTGTCAACTTCAGGCCTTAGTAGATAATTAACTTCCAGTTGTAATTCTCCAGTCCAAGTGCAGCTCAGCATGCCAATGATTAGAAGCGGTCATTGTGTCATATCTGTTTCCTGAAATACATGGAATAGATAGAGAATATCAGGTCAGTGCCCTGAAAATCTGGTCTTTGGGGTTTTTTGGCATTGGTAGATCATACCTTGTGCAACTCTAAGCAAGCAAGCATTTTTCTTCTGTGTTGGTTACACTTTATTCTCTGAACCTCTGTCTGGACAGAGAAGGAAGTTTTTAAGGCAGTTCTACACATAATAATACAAAGTATGTCTTGCTTTCATTAGTTTTGAGATAATCTGTCAAACAGGGTCAGTATTTTCTAGTGTAAGTAGTTCTGATTAGAAGTAGCGTATAGGAAAAGGTTAGAATTAGGTGCTTCTGGAAAAAAAAAATCTTCTGTTTCCCTTTAAAGAAGCAAGTTTATTCTTGAGGAAAAAAAAAAGAATGAAAGTCTCCTTGATTTGAGAACCATCAGTTAATCCATTTGCATGGAATTGTCTGGTTATTTTTGGCCATATGTGAAGCCTGTTTCAAGCCTTGTCTCTGCTGTTGAAACATGGAAAACTGCCATGATGAGCTGCTCAGCTCACTTGGGCAATAATGCTTTCCTGTCTCGGCATCAAGAAAGCAAGAGCAATCTTGACTTCAGACTAGGAGAACAACTCTGCCATCATTGTTTAATTAGTTTAATCCACACTTTGCTAATGAGTTGTGGCCTGTCTGTCCTTCAATGGTGGCTATGTGGTTTGAAATATTAAGACGAAGAAGGATGCTTTTCTGAATTTCTAGAAATAGAAACCTTGGAAAAAAATTCAGGCAGTATAAATTGGCATAGGTCAGTTAAAATTGATACTCTCTTAGACCAATTAGCTAGTTGAAAAGGCTGTATTGTGAAAGAATTATTTTCTCATTAACATTGTTTCATCATTCTAGTTTAAAACACTTATTAAAAATTTATACTTGAATGAAGAAAAAAAAACCTAGCTGTGGGGAAAACCGTTTTTAAGAACGATATCAGGGTACTATATTATTAATGATAGCACTGGGGCTTGGTCACCCAAAGTCAGCCTTGTCACCCTGTGGAGGACAGAAGGGGCTTTTGTTTAAATCCTTGTAGTTGTTGCAGTGGGTCCGTTTATGTTGGTAATTCATGTGTCAGCTTAAAGCTTTGTTTGTTTTGGTTTTTGGGGTTTTTTTTAAATTTTCCAAAGACTAACCCAGTATATTTCCTTTCCTAAGAACTCTGTGAAAGCAAGAAATACTGTAAGTAGTGTTTAATGGAAAGGCCAGTAGGGAGGAAATGACTCATTTTAGCTTCACTGTGCTAATGAAGTGCTGAGTGAAAAGTGTGAAGTGAACTGGGAAGAACCAAATGTAGCGTTAAAGCTGCGTCCTTTAGGAGCCATGTGACAATGGCAAAGTTTTGTGCTGAACTTTACTGAACTGAAGAGAAGCAGCAGGAGCACCTACTGTGCTTCTGTCCTTACAGTTTTCCTTCCGCCTCTCCTCAAGATGGAATTCCCAAGAATGTGGAAGTTTCTGTTTACGGATCTGTGCAGCACATACAATTATTTATGCTAATTTTGATGTCATGATGCAAGTGTTACTGGGTTTCTTTAAAGGTAATAGGCATTGTGCTCCAGTAGCTCTCAAAGACTGAATCATGGGTGAGACCCTCATTATCTTGGTGCTTATATATAGCTGGAAATGACAAATCAGTGTTAGAGAGCTTGGAATGGTAAAAATTTACAAACGAGGTACGGAGGAAGGAAGGGAAAGGAGCAATAGTGTGAGGAATGTCTTAAAATATCAAACAAACCCACGGCTGAAGTGCTAATATGAAGCCTTAAATAAATTCTCAATGAATTTAGGAATACAAATTCATTGGTTTAATTATTAGGACTTTTAGGAGTTAAAAAGTTCAAAATGGTCTGTAGTGTTAAATGACCTGTCCCACATAGCTCTTGTTGTTAGGCAATTATGGAGGGCATATGAAATCTATACAACTTAAAATTTTGTCTTTACATTTATAAAATACACCTAAAAGCCTTTCAGGGTGGTTTCAATTAAAATAACTTTTCTTTGCCAAATTATTTACATACAGTATGCTATTGCTGTGCTGCATATTTATAAAATCATACATAACTGGCAGAACACGAAAATATATTTTTTAAAATGCAGTTTCTTGGAAAGAACAAGCATTTTGGCAAGCAATTGTGTATGAATTTATTCTGAATAGAATTACAAGTTAGCTGAATATTTTTTCCTTTACAAGTCGTATTTATAACAAGTGTGCAGGCAGACAATAAGAGAACAGCAAGCAAGGATGATACTTTGATGCTTTTAAAGAGAGATCTGCATTCTGCTTCACAGACCTACATCTCTAGAGGCTTGGATGCTGTGATCCAGTGCATAGCTAGACTAGGTGTACTCGCATGCACAGTTTCCTCATTTGCCACTTATATTTGCAGGTTTTGGTTATAGTGTACTTCCTCCCGTATGTGCAGTTTTTGCGCTCTGCCTCCTACAAAACTATGGCTCATCCTGTCACTTGAAATAAAGTGAGGCCACGTTTGTTTGAAAATACTGATACGTCACTTACTCAAGTACAAACGGTAACTATTCAAGTATGACCTAAAAGTGCTTAAAAATACTGTGCATTCTTTATGGAGTACTTAGAGAAGAAAAATTCGTCAGAACAATGCAATTGACAATGCCCTTTGGGAGAAAGCTTTACAGGGAGCACCCGGCGCGCACGCACGTGTGGGGGGTGTGTGTGTGTGTGATGTGAGCCATTTAACCATTGGATTTATTTTTCAACACTTGTCAGTTTTACTTTCCTTCAGCACATTACTGTAACACATAGAAGGTGCAAATATATTTAGTCACAAACACCTTTACATTTATTTTGATTCATGTTCAAGAAGTAGATATTCAACCTTTAAATGTGAAATCGACTGGCTTGCTTTTTGTGTGGTTACTCTACCATTATGTAGTCCTTGATCTTGTTTTGCCATCTCTGATTCCAGCAAGAAGGTGTATTCTGTTACTGAGAGGAAATACGGTGCTAGAGAAGCCACTGCTACTGCTCTGTAGCTAGCAGCAACAACAGTTGCTTTTGTTTGTGCTCCTCTCACTTTTCACAAGGCAAAACAAAAGAGTCCAGTACTTGTGTTGATTGATCTCCAACATATATCAGGAACTACAGCATGGGAGTTGACAGCTCATCACATGCTACTCATCCTTCTGAGCCAGTGTTGAACTAATGCTCTGGCATGAATGTGAGAGTGCTCTGTGGGAAATTCTGGCTTTCAGATGAGATCAAAGATCTCTACAAGTTACAAAGAGTTTCAGAAAGCTGGAGGGTTCTTAATCCTGGTGCTCCAGCCAAATAGTAGTTTTGGCATTATTTAGCTGTAGTTTTATGTATTAGAGCTAGCTCTTACTTTGTATATCAAATGCTGTGTGGGACTCTCTCTCTTTTTCCCTAAAGGTAGCTGAGTTTTGTGGGTTTAGTAAATCATGGACATCATCTGTATTTTGTGGTGTTTGTATTTGTGTTAGTGCAAACAATTTGAGGGAAAATATACTAATAAGTAAAAATGCTCTTAATGTTCTTGCATCGGGCGTTAACAGATACTGACTCTCAGGTGTTTCCTCAGTTATAACGGACCCCACAGGACTCAAACAATTTTAAGTTTCAAAGATAGCTAAATGCCTTAAAAATTCTAGGAAGTAATTACATCGTTCATCATTATTATTTCAAGTAGAAGAAATAAACAGCCTTTAAATTGCTCTTTTGCACAATTATAAATGGATTATAATTTTCTACCCATGTTAAAGGTAGTCCTAAATTTTGCATGGGATGTTTTCCAGATATACCTCATAGGATAGGAGATTGTTGTTGCATGGTTTGCGCAGTTATGACATGATAGATTTGCTTTGCAGAACTGAAAAAAAAGTATTTTTTTGAAAATTATTTTCAAAATTACTTATAGAGAACATATTTTGAAAGTATTTAATTGTCTAAAATAATTATGCGTAGGAATCAAGTTGCTTTTAAATTAAGTCTGGTTGTAAGGAGAGGGTATAAGCATTACAAATAAAAGGATTGGGGTGCTCTTCCTCTATTTTTCCCCATGGACTAACCCCAGCCTAATCTCTTGTTCTTCCCAAGGTGTCATTGCTTAGTCCAAAAATGTTTTTGTGGTACAAAATGCTGCTTTTGGTAAAGAAAACATCTTCCCGTTTCAGCTGCACTGTTTTCTCTTACCCTAGAGGTGGTGCGGTCTCCAAGGCAGCCACTGGAAAGCAGAGGGCAGCCAGGAGAAGGGGAGAGGAGGGAAAAGTAGAGTGGAGCTTGTGATCCCAATCTATGCCCTGGGATAGATCTGAGGTTACAGATGAAAGAAAACAAAACAAAGCCCACTGACCTGAAGAAAGTTAAAGAAAGGAAGTGAAGTTACGGAAGAAAAGGGCAGACTGGGAGACAGTCTTACCAGTAGTGAGAGGAGAAGACAGAAGATAAATGAGGGTAGACTGTTTGAAACAGTACCTCATGGTGCTTGCTGTAGAGACCATTTCAGTCACTGATCAGTGAATGCACTAAAGAGAGAACTCACTTGTCATGCTAGTGCACGTGATTTCAGTTGTTCAAGACAAAACAACTCTAGGATAAATATATAGTTATCCTACACAATTCTAGAGTATGAATGCAGAAGGCATCTAAAAGCCCTGCAGGAAATGGATTGAGCCCCAGTTAAGTGTGTAAAGACAGTGTAAGTCTTGGGTCTTGTTCTGGGAGTATCCAGAGTTCGTGTGGTCTTTATAACGCCTGCAAAATATAAGGGCCTTGGAAAAAAAAACAAGGATCTGTATGTTAGTTGCTTTTCTTTTCTTCAGGAAATCCTAATTTAGAAAACACGTACTAACTTTCTTTGTCTTTGGTACCTTCACCCTTTTGCAAGGTTTGCTCCAGCTCTCAATAGCATATGTTTGTTGCTAATTCATGTAAATTTCTGAATGCAGTACGTGCTGTTCTTCTCTCTGGACTGCTAAACTGATTCCCCATTCATTTTGACATTCTGTTCAAGTCACCCTTGTTTTTAAGAAAACTATGGTCTTGCTTGCTCTAGCCTATCTCGCTAAACTTGTTTCTCACTGTAACCCTTTCTGCTCCCTCTGTTTCCATAGCACAGGCTGACACCCTTTCCTTTTAGACAGTCTCCTCACTGTTGTGAGAGCCTTCTCCTTTACACCTCCTGCTGTCTGGAACAGTTTTCTGTGACTGCCTTTTGGCTTTCATGCTTGTTTCAGAATTCAGTTGAAAACACATTACTTTTTTTCCGTTACAATTCCTCAAATTTCCACTCTTCCTCTGCTGTTATTTAACTCTTCAGGTTTTACAATTAACATAACTGCATGGAGCATTTTGTAATGCTTTGTGTATAACAGATGCTATACAAAGTGAAGTATTGTAGACTACCTCTGGGCCTTCTCTTGTATGCATTTAAGTCGATGGTAAAGCTGCTGTTAACTTCAGTTAACAGGTTTGGGGCTTTAGCACAGTTTATATCAATGAAACTCTCTACATCAGGAGTTTGGTATTTCAAAATAATAAGTTGTTGCTGTCCTGGACGAACTCTTTCTCTCAAGGTGGCATTTGCTTGCCTTGGCTCATTTGTAGCTTTGGTAAGTTAATTAAAAAAAAAAAGGGGGTAGGGGGAGGAATTTGGCAAAACAGTCATCCTCTTTCCTAATGTGTTTGGAGCAAATAAGTTCCTTTTGCTCACATACTGACAGGAGGTTAGGAAAATTACAGGAGTAGTATGTTCACCTGACAATACAGACAAAAGGTTTTTGATGGTAGTGGTGAATGTTGCCAAAAGTGGAATGGAGTAAGGGAATCTAAGTGGTTGCCAGTGCATATAAGAGGCAGAGGCTTTATCTGCCTCTTACAAGACTTCACAAACAGTATTGCTTTGTCATACTAAATAGTACGTGGAAAATTTGTTGAGGCTAAGCAAAAAGATTCTTCTGCTTGTCCTTCCGTTGGACAGATTGACCTTCTGTGGTCATTAAGGTAGGAAACCCAGAGATGCTTCTCTGGAGTTGCTTATTTCCTTTCCTCTATGCTTTGTGGCCTCCACTGGATTGTTTTTTTTTTTCATTTTTTTCCTTTTGGTAGTGTTCCATAGCCCTGGTCAGAATACTTTTGCATAAGAACAAGTATTAATGTTCCCTTAAAATAACCGAAGTTTGTATGTTTCCACAGTTGCCACAGCTACAGTTATTTGCACATAATTCAGCAGGTTGTAACTCATGCTACGCTCTTTCCAAGAGTAATTAACCTATTAGTATTGTGTAGTAACTGTATTTGTGACCATAAATGAGTACTTGAATGTGATCTTTAAGCTATACCCTTTTTAAAGGGACAAACAGAAAACCTAAGCAACATTGAGATTAATGAAAAATATGCTGTGCTAAAACATCTGCCAGTTTATCCAAAAGTGTTCATAGATACAGTCATCCTACACCGTAGATACAGTCTTCCAACACTGTGTTTCCAAAAAGATAAGACTTACCATCTTTTTACCTTCTAATAGACACGCTAATCTTGTTTTAGCAGCTTCTGGATTATCATGACCAAATCATTGACTTACGCAATATCCCATCTGATTCTAAGCTTGATTTCTCACTGCCTGGTTGGCACATTGTGTATCTCAGATTGCCAGATCCAATTCACAAGCACTAGTGTTGTTTGTTAGAACTTGCCTATCAGTTTGGTACTGTCCAGAACACAAAGAAAAGATTTTGTTCTGTGCGAGATAATACAGTTAAGACAAAACCATGAGTGGTTGAGACAGGGTTGAAAGAGTTAAATTTTAATCTTTTTGTGTGTGTGGATCTAAAGGTGCTATTAGCTTTCACGTGTGATGCGATTCTTGGGCAGTAACAGTACAATCATGTTAAGTTGCATTAATAACATTACACTTATGGATGATTTATTTATAGATAAAGGCATCAGCAGATAGAGGAAAGTTGCAGGTGTACGTAAACAATGCTGAATCCATGGTGGTTACATATGACTGCTCTTACATGTCTCAGTGAAATTATTTTTCTTTCCCCAACAAAAATACCAGGATGTAAGGTGGGAGGTTTGGCCCAAAATCTCAAGTACATAAAAATGTCAAGTACTGAGTGTATGCTGTGACTGATGAGCCTGTACAAATGTTCTTTTTATTTACAGGTATCTTGAGCTGGTACTACTACGTGACTATGCCAATGCCAGCATCCACCTTCACTATTGCTGTGGGGTGCTGGCAGGAAGTTAAACAGCAGTCCTTCACAACTGCTATCCAGACAAACACTGAGTTTTCCTTGCCATCTTCACAAGCTGATTTCAGGTTGGTGTTTAGAATATTGTTGAAAAATGAGATATATGGGTAGCATTTTCATTTACGCCGTGGAATATGAAAATGAGTCATATTAGTACAGGAATCAAAATAGAACTTGCTTAATCTAAACAGAAAAATCTTGACAGGAAAATAATTCCGAAGGCATCATTTCATGGGTAAGTGTATGGTTCTTTTTATGTGAAAACAAGTTGCTTAGTGAGCAAGAGGGTTAATAAATCCCAGTGTCCTCTGGATTTTCATCCTACATCCTGCGTCTCCTAATGCCCTGCCGCAGCAATACCAGGTTCTCCCTTGTTTCTTACAATGCCTGGCTGTAAGATCGTTTGTGTTACTAGACCCTGTCCATTCTGGATACCTAATGCCCCCTACTACAATATTGCCTACTCACTCACTTTTTTCTTCCTGTCCAGTCCCATCCTAGAGTTAGAGCTGGCCTGTGCAGTGGTTTGCCTGGGGTGATGTGTACTGACTGGCTACATGAAAAGCCTGTTGCAGTGGTCCCATAAAATAAAGTTGGACCAATGATTCTTTTAAATAAAAAAATACCCTGTTGTCTAGTACATACAGTGGCTACTTAGCTGTCTTTCACCAAACCCATAGAAATGTAATTATTTTGGATACATCTATTCCTCCTTCCAATCTAGTAAAAACTGCTCATTGAGTTTAAATTATTACAGAGTGATGGATGAACAGAATACTATATAGGCCTGCAAATGAGATTTGAAGCTAAAAATTAAGTCTCTGCAGAAATACCACTTGTTTCTATGTGTATTCACCATAGTTAGCAGAAGTCTCAGACATGGCATGTGATTTCTTCGTATATTACTCTCAGCTTTTCAAATTCATAGAGTCATAGAATCATAGAACAGCCCAGGTTGGAAGTGACCTTGAAAGATCATCTAGTCCAATCTTTTGTGGGAAGGGGAGCTTAGATGAGGTTATCTAGCTATCTACCCATTGCCCCTTGTCTTCTCCATGTGGCTCCTTGTGAAGAGAGAGCCTCTGTGCTCTTTGTAGGTGCCCTTTAAGTGCTGGAATACTGCAATGAGATCCCCCTGAGCCTTGCCTACTCTCCTCCTCTCTCCTCCTCTCTCCTCCTCTCTCCTCCTCTCTCCTCCTCTCTCCTCCTCAGAAAAAGCCTAGCTCCTTCAGTCTTTCCTCACAGGGCAGGTTCTCCAGCCCTTCGTTCATTTTTGTGGCCCTCCTTGGGACCCTCTTCAGTTTGTCCATGTCTTTCTTGAATTGTGGGGACCAGAACTGGACACAATACTCCAGGTACAGCCTCACAGGGCATCCAGCCCTTCGTTCATTTTTGTGGCCCTCCTTGGGACCCTCTTCAGTTTGTCCATGTCTTTCTTGAATTGTGGGGACCAGAACTGGACACAATACTCCAGGTACAGCCTGACAAGCACTGAATAGAGTGGGGTGATCACGTCTTTATCTCTGCTAGTAATGCCTCTGTGGATGCAGCCCAGGATCCGATTTGCCTCCGTTGCTGCAGCGGCACACCAATGACTCATGTTCAACTGTTTGTCCACGAGGAACCCCTGGGTCCCTCTCAGCAAGGCTGCTCCCAGACACGCAGGTCGTAGCCTGTGCTGGGCTCTTTGGTTATGTCATCACAGGTGCAGGACTTGCACTTGTCTTTGTTGAACTTCACACTGTTCTTGCTATCCCACACTTCCAGCCTGTCCAGGTCTCTCTGTAAGATGGCTCTCCTGTCTGACATGTGCACCTCACCACCCAGTTTGGTGTCGTCAGCAAACCTGGTGAGGGTCTTTCAATTCCATCATCCAGGACATTTGTGAAGATGTTGAACAAATGGGGCCCAGTATCGATCCCTGCAGGACTTGTGACAGGCTGCAGCCTGAGTAAAAACCGTTGATCACCACTCTCTTGAGTGTGGCCTGTTAGTCAGTCTCCTGCCCATCTCGCAGACCATCCATCCAGTCTCTGTCTTGCCAGTTTGTCCAGGAGGAGGCTGTGGGAAACGGTAATGAAAATTTTGCTGAAGTCCAGGCAAACAATATGCACCGCTTTCCCCATGTCAATAGAAAATGTTATTTTGTTGTAGAAGGTGATCAGGTTAGTCAGGCTGTAAGTATTTTTCTGTCATGTAATTAGAAACTTAGCCAAAACAATACTTGCCTTTTAGATAGCTGTTTTGGGCTAATACTGTGTTAACATTAAGACAGTGGAAGTCCTTACCATTTTGGTAAAGCTAGTGAGACTTTGGAACTTGAGGACCTAATTGGGATTTCTTATTGGAATTTAAAATGAAAGGATTCTCATGGCTTGCAGCTTGGCTAATTTTAGTAAAAAAAAAAAATCTAATAAATCTTGAGAATAGGAATTTTTATATTTTACCTCAGATCAGTAAGACATGTCTATTCAAGCTTTAAAATTGTTTATAGGTTTGATAAGCTTCTAGAAATTGTTTTGTGTTTATTCCTCTACTATTCATACGTTTATAATATGACTGCCTCTACAGAAATACACTACAGATGTTCACTATATATTCGTCTCTATGTTTAGTAATAGGAATCTTTATTGATTTGGTGCAAAAGGTTATTCTGTCAGAGTGTTGATAGAATAAATGAAAGTTTCAATTTTTTAAAAAACTTTTGAAAAAAGGGGAAAAGCTATTTATGTAGCTTTTTGTAGCAAAAATTAGTGCAAGTTTTAATCAGTGTGATGGTCACTGGTCAATCTGTGTGATAGTCATTGGATGAGTTAATTGGCACAGGTAGTGTGATGTATCTGCAGCAGTTGAGTTAGTGACAGTAGAAGAAACAGAACTAATATGTTTCAAAAAAAAAAAACTGACAAAAAAAAATTCAACAAATCCTCTGCAAGTGTGGTGTCTATTATGCATGGACAAAAAAGGAGAGCCTAAGTGTACAAGATTGTTTTGCAGTTCATTAGGACATAAAAATCTATGTCCTTAAAAATCCGCTCTTACAGTTATATCCAGTTAATCTTTATTTGGGAGTAAGCACAACAGACACTTGTTACTTATTTTAATCATTAAGACTGGGTAACCAAGCCAACATTATGCACAGTAGCAGGCATTTCTAGAAAGGGTGTGAAATGGATAGACAAGCAAATGTTAAGGTAGTGTGTCAGATAAGATAGTGGAGATAAAGTCTCGGGCAGCAGGAAAAGGAAGGATTTCTGAAAGAAGTTGTTGAAATGTGTAATATAATTTATGTCCAGGTGCCAGTGAGTTTGACATAAGGAGACTGTATCAAAGAAAATGTTAAATGGAGCTAGGGTGTTAGATAAGTTTCCTGATCTCCTTGTGGTCATTAAGGACTTGGCAACTTTTACAAGAGATAGGGTGCTAGCTTTCATGTTCTTGCCTAATGTCAATTCTGATAATTAAATACAAAGTGACATTGTTTTAGAGCAGAAATACACTGGGTTAGACCACCCTTGGAAAAAAATCGTGTAACGATGGATGTAGTTTTTCCATATGTAATCAATGGAATAGCTTAGAGTCCACTTCTTTCACAGAAAGAGTTATGTAAGATGCTAAACGGTTGGCATTTCAGCAAAATGTCATCCTTTTCTACATGTTATCGTCTTGTTTTGTGTGTCAGCACTCACCTGGAGCCTGCTCTTCCAAACATAAATGCTTTGGGCAATGCCAGGTGCAATAATAAGTGCTTTGCCTGTCCAGGCATAGTAGAACCAGCTTCCTTAAGTTGAAATCTCAAACTAAGGAGAGGCTCTGCGCTGTACAGAAGATAGGCTAGCAGGTGAAAACATGAAGCTGATTTCTGCTTAGATATGAGTCTATTTGGGCAGATAAATTATTGTGAAGGTATATGACTCAGTGTTTAGGAAGGATTTGATTTACCCCTCCTTCCTTCCAGCTCTGAATATCCTGTAAAAGTAACATAAAGTAAGCTTGACCCTAATGTGGTATTTTGAAATGTCTACAGTGATAAGCATGAATTGATATTTACTGTTGGTTTTTACTGAAGAAAAAAAAAAAAAATCAGTAGAAGTTCCTGGAGAATTTTAGTAACAACAACAGGAAAAAAGCCCACTTGGAATTTCATTGTAATTGCACTTAATATGTTTGTGTTAATATATGTGAAATTTTTATTTTCGTAGTCAAGTTTGAATAGGAATTCTCTGAATCAATAAGTATTTCTGTATTGTTACTTAGTTTTCTTTATGTACAATTTGAGCACTTGTTCTTTTGATGTGCCAAATGAGTTGGTTTAACGTAAACTAACTCTGTCATTCTGATGTCTAGAGAATATCCTTGTCTTAGCGTACTCAATTGTGCACATTTCTGGTATCACATTAAACTATTTTGTCTTTTCTTGTTGTTGTTGTTGTTGTTATTGTCAGATGGCATGAAGAAATCTGTGGTCATGTGGAATATCCCTGCCGTTTCCAAAATCCTGCTGCCAGGTTGCAGGCAGTCATTCCTTACAGAGTCTTTGCTCCCTGGTGCCTTATGGAACGCTGCGAAGAACGTTTGCTTCAGCTCATTCCTCAGTGCCTCTCAGCTGCTTACACCACACTGGGTACCCACCCCTTTTCGAGGCTTGATGTTTTGATAGTTCCTTCCAACTTTTCCAGCCTGGGAATGGCTAGGTAAAGAAACTTCTTAGTATCTCATCTCCTGTATTTTGTTCGACTCCTTTTTATCAACTAGTTAACAGTGTCAAATTGCTATCAGTATAAAGTTGCTGTGCTATTTTTTTTAAACCAGACTTAAAACTCTAGTTCTGGCTTCATGTGGGTAGGTTTGTTTGTATCCTTTGTGCTATGATCTTTAATTTTAGTTTTTACAGGGCTCAGGGAAGGAAAATACAAGCTTACTAGACATGTGGGTCTGAATTTCCTCATTTGCTAAACTGAAGTTCTTTTATTGGTTCTATTGATTTAAATACTTGATGCTGCTATCATTTTGTCATGTTTTCTTTTGGCGTTGTTTCTACCATTGTGTCTTGACAGTACAAGAGCACGTTAAAATCCATATCTAGAGTTTATTCATAAGCCTTTTGTGGTTTATGAGTTTCTAGTCAAACACTGGTCTTTGGAAACTGAGTAAGGCAAACTGTAGGGATATTATCAAGTTTTCATGGAATTGTGGAGGGAAAAAAGCTTAACTAAATATTTTTGGTTTTACAGTATAATTTCCAGTCATGCAATGACAATAGAATTTTAGCTTTATTAATTGTAAGGCAATGCGTAGCAACTGAAATTCCCCATTTGCTTTATATTTTTCTTAAAAAAAATGTATTTTTAAGTTGGTAATGAGCTAGTGTTTGTTAATAGCAGAGAATGAAACACTATTTTTATGCACTGTTTACCTAGTGCCAACAGTAGAGGGGATTTATTTAGGCAGGTGGACAAAACATCCAAGGGAAAAATTAAAGGCAAAGCTCTGTTAGAAACATGAGGACTGAATGGAAAGCTGTATTCCCAGACTGTTGGATTTTGTATTTTGTAGCTCTTTGGGCAGTTGTAGAGTAGGTTTGATATCTGAAGCAACTTCAACAAATTGCACGCATTGCCAGTCCAAGTGCTTAAATGAACCAGAAGTTTATTTCTTTTTACAAACTGTTTAATTAATCAAATAAGGAAACATTTTGTTTCATGCTACGTGTTTTATTTCTTATTTATGTAGATTTTTTTCTATAGCTTTTTCCTTGCAATCCTCCTTACGCATGAAAGTAGAAAATTATGCTGGCATGTAATAATACTGTATAGTTTTTAGTATAAGTTTACTTTCTTTTTTTTTAATGACAATCTATAAAATTTAAAACTTAAGCATTCAGTGACCCTCCTCTGTCATATAAGCCTCATTACTTTGTAGATACCTTGTACTGGTTACTGAGTTTTCAATGATAGCTCTTCGCTCAATGAATTCCTAAATGAAAGCATGAGGAAACTTGCACAAGTCCTGGTTGCTTTGGGCACTTACCACAGACTATATTCTCTTATGCTTTGCATAGTGGTTTGATTTGGAGGTGTGATGTTGTGTACTATGTTCTTGAAGCCATATGAAATTGGTAGAGCTGCTTAGCGATTTCCTCTGACTTCAAAGGCGTGGTACTAAAAGGTTGGCACAGGTCCTTATGGATCATCACTGTAATTGAGGAAGAAACTGGCCATTTTATTTAGCTGTGTGGTAAGTGCAGTGATCAGTGGAACCATGAAGGGCAAGAAACACAAATAGTACAAAATGAAAGAGAAAGGGGAGAGAGATGTCTAGGCCAAAATGACAGCACGCAGTAGGAGAAATCTTCAAGATTCAATTGTTGATATGCTACTGCTGTTTGGGAAGTTGTCAGAGCTTTCCCTGCATGTACCTTTCCCAGAATTTATAGGGAAAAAATGCCTGCAGGGTGTTCCGTTGCAAAACCATTTCGGTTATCTGAGTCCAAATTGCGTATTCAGAATATTGTAATTGTACTTTCTTTGTGAAGGAGATGAGAAAAACCTATGCTTTTATTTCCCTATGCTTCTTCTAACCGCTCTCAGTTCCAAGTGATCCATATCATTGAATATAAGTAAAGGATGAAAGAAAGGGCATGCATACTTTCTGATGCTTTTCATTCAACAGTTCATCAAGCCAAGCACATTCAAATTTTTCAAAATTGAAATAAAGGAATAATTTAAGTTGTTTAAATGTCAAGCTGTATTTGGACAGCAAAGGAAATTATTAAGTGACTCATAATAGCTCGTTTGTTCTTGTTTTGTGTGATTTTTCAAATGGAGGCTTCTATGTATATAGCAAGCTACTTAAATGGTTAATTCCTGTGCATGCAATAATTACCTAAATTACTTCAGTTAAGAATAAGCTATGTGCAAAACCATGTCCAATCCCACATTAAAAAATAAAAAGTTAGCTATTATCTTGGGTTAAAAAGGGTGCTGTAGTATTTATTTTCTTATCTTCTAGTCTATCTGTAGCAGTATAAACATAACACAGCATGCCAGCGCAAAGGGGCTGTTGTTTTGAGAATTCTAATTGTACTCCTGTCTGCCAGGGAAGGAAGAAGTCATAAATTTTAGTCATCATCTGAAGAACGAGGGCTTTACAGCATTTGGCACTTTTCTTTGTCTGTTCCTCATTAGCTGATACTTACTGTATTTTTTATATCCCAAAATACTTAAGGGGGATGTTTCCCCAACATTTTAAACTGGTATGAAATGATGATAATTTTTGCATAGAGTGACCTAATTAGGCGTTTTAAGCTGTCTATTCCAGTAGCCGCTACTGTGGGTCAGCTGCATTTCTCTTGAAGTCTGACAGATGTTTTATGAGAAAAACTGTACTTGAAAGCATATTCATTTTACTTGTGTTTTCTGTACATCTTTTCCTGTGTTTTTTAATTTGCTATGGACTTCTATATGGAAATATAGATGTATATATAATATATAATGTGTATAATAATTGCAATCATCCCCTCTTGCTTGCTGCCGATCTTTGAAGCTGGAGGATTTAATTTTGCACTCTCTCTTGGTTTTACACTATTTTAGTCCAAGTGATTCAGTATAGCTTCTCCCAAATCTGTGCTAGTAAAAGAAGAATGTGGCCGAAATGTCTTTGTTGGTGACATTATGTTAAACTGTTCATCAATTACATGAAAAAAGCATCATGGACCAAATTTAAATAGCTTAAAAGCCAAAGATTCAGTGCTTTCTGTAGAATTTTGGGAGTTTTGTGAACACCTAACAGCATTTAATTATTTGATTTTAAGTTCTTTCATTAGCAGAAGGGAGTGAATTGGAGGAAAAGGCGTAGGGAAGTGTGTCAGACTGTGAAGACTCTAGAGCTCCTAATTAGATTGTTCGGGGAAGAGATCCCTGACCTCACACTACACTGAAAGGTGTGCATCGCTCATATACTTGGAGAGCTAAGAGGTTAAAAGCAGAAGATTAAAAGTAGCACCATGTTCTGGTGCTGTTGATGATGACATGCTACTCGCTGAGGAATTGTCAACCCCATTGGCATTTAAGAGTTATTTCACGGTTGCAAATGTTCTCATGTTGAGCCAGTAGTTACTCATGTGAACAAAGCTGGCTGAAAGACTTCAAATAAAAAATAGGGTCTGTGTGTTCCCTGGTTGTTTGCGCTCTTCAAATCAATTTGTTCCCAGTCAAGTTTTGTTGATCAGATTTGAAAACCTAGTGTTTCAAAATCTCTTCCCACTGACCTACAAATCAATTTCCTTTCCTTTTGGCAAAACCTGAAGAGACTCCAAATTCCTTGTTCTTTCTCATTATCTGAGGAAAAACATTCTTTTGGATACAGAGACTCTTAACTTTTTGTGCCACCTGAGCCTGTGCTTGAGACCTTGACTTCGCTTGCAGTATTTAATTGTGTAAGTCCTCTTTTTTTATTTTCTCCATGGAAGTAATTTTTTCCTTGCTAACCATTCAGGGCCTTTCACAGTCACACCAATCTCTTGTGTTTCTATGGCGTTAGAAACTGCTTACCATCTTTCTACTTCTTCACAGCAAATGTGCTGATATTTATTTTACTCCCCAGGGGGTTTTAAGCCTTTGTTTGCATGGAGTTGAAGTACTTTTTTTGAAACAATGGTCTCCAAAGCTTTTTGTTTCCAGCACGCATAGTTTAAATAACATAAGATTACTGCTTTTTCTGTTTGAATTAATGTACTTTAGATGTACTAGTTTTGTAGTAAGTGCTAGCACAAGGAAAAATTCTTAGCCAAGCACTATGTGTCAATAACTTGACTAGTCACATCACATGTTGCTGGGAGCTAGAAGACTATGATGAGAAAAGTGTCCCTCGGTACGTACCATGCTCTTGGCTTTTCCTTAAACACTTAGTACTAGTAACTGCTGAAAACAGAATAATGGGATAGATGGACTTCTGGTCTTACCTAGTTTGGCTATTCTTACAGCAATTTTGCCCAGCAGAGCTAGCAAGTAAGTGGAACCAAAGAACTTCTAAGCAAAATACTGACATTTTCAAAACAGGATACCAATGTTAGGTTATTTGAATCCTATTTAGGCTCTAAAATTAGTGGCCTCATTTTCAAGTATGCTGGACACCCTTGAAACCCAAATGATGTTTGGTGACAGAAACGTAGAGGATGCTTGGCATATTTGTAAATCAGGTCAACTTATATAGCTGGCTAAATATGGATTTAGTAACCCAGCTTTCAATTCCTATTTATGAAGATCTTAGTCACTCTTCTCCTCTCATGTAAATGGTCTTCGGTATTTTAAGAGGAAAGAATATCTCTTTCTTCAAAACATGGTACATCAGCAGAACTCTTGAGTCTTTCCAGGCCATGTCACTAAGGTTGTTAACTTTTTAAATTGAAAAGGGAGAAGAAAAAAAAAAGGGGAGGGGGGAAATAAAAGCCCAAGTAGCCTCTTTGATCTGTGTGTCTGTAGCCACCATTTATCCGATCTGTATGTCTGCAGTGTTCCGACGACAACTGATAAGTCTATAGTAAAATCAGCCAGGACTATTGGAAAACATCCAAGTGTCAAACCTAAATGTGAGTGTTTAGTATTGTTCAGTCTTGCGGAACTGTGATTGACTGTTTGCCTCAGCTGTAGAAGTGAGTCTATACATTTGTGAGTCTATACATTTGTATAAACTT